CCTCGTTTTGAGAGTTGGTTTGGATGATATGTTGAACTATTATTTTTCTTTTCAATTATATCTCCATACTCCACATTTATACCTTTTTATGGTTTATTCTTGTATGCTTAACTCTTTTAGATGTGACTAATTATTAGTGTAGACCTATATTATTGTTTACCATGCCAAGACTTACTAGAAAGATAATGATTTGATCCCACCAGGATTTCTATTGAAAATGATGACATTCACAGATGCTATAAATTCCAAATAGGTGAGAATAGTGTGTGTTGGAACCCTCAATTTTTCTTTATGCAAAGATGATTGATTGCTTATATTCACTATGATTTGGGTTCGTTACAAGAAGGGCACAATTAAGTTGATGTTGGTAAAGGATGCTACGTGCATGCTACCCTTTTTGTAACCATTACCACATGTTATTTGTTGTAAGCGAAGGATGATTTTCTAAGAATATAGTTTAACAATTTGACCAGGGCGAGTTGCTTGATTTAATTCATGTGTTATTTGGATGCTTAACTATGATTATATGTTATATGGAACAGACGTGTTATGTGTATTTATCCTCTCATTTACTGTATGAGGTTTTTCTACTATCTGAGAGTTGGTTTCATCCAATAATATAGTAGTTTAGTCGTGACATAACACCCCAAAGATTCACTACTTTTAAATTAATTTATAATCATATCAATTTAAATAAATTAGAATTAGATCATATATGAAACGTTAAAAACTAAAAAACACTTGGTGAAATTTATCCAAAAAAAAAGGCGAATTAAGTAAAAATTGGGTAACATAATTATAGAGTAACTCAATTTAAGTAGAGATTAATTATCCAAAATTAGGGATTACAAAAATTATAATCAGTTGGGAAGTAACAAAAATAGAAAATTAAATACAAGTTGCAAAATTGATTGAAAAGACCAAATTACCCTTATAATAAACCTAGAATGATGACCCAATTTTGACAAGAAAATGTTCATAAAAAAATTTGAAATTTTTATTGTTATTTGTTGGCCCAAATAGAAAAATATTCATTCAAGAACCAAGGTCAAATTCAACACTCATGTGAAATGTAAAGGATAGGTAAATTGGCAAAACTTTCAATTTTATGATCCTATCTTATCCAATCCAAGTACCATTATTTTTGGCATGAAAGAGGACCCAATCTGTCAATAATTTAGTAAGGAATCAGTTGAATTGAAGTAGGCCAATTACTGAGGAAGCTTGATTTACCAAAACTCGTGAAAATGACACTCTAGTCAATGATCTAATCTCTAACCAAATAGACTACCAAACGACAACCAAATCAAACCAAATTCAGCCAACAAATAGTGTTATGTAAGGAGAAAAGTCTGATTGGAACAACTAATAATTAAAGAAAAACTACGCAAATACACTTTGGCAAATAAGATGACATTATAAGGATCAACTTTTTTTTCCACATTGAGCATGATTTTTAGGGACCACTTTCCATAAGGATAAAAGTTGAATTAAGGGGAGACCTTAAAAGAAAAGTTGCTTCACTTCAACCCCTCTATCTAGTTGTAAGTTAAAAAGGTATATATTATTATATATAACCATCAAATATAGGCATCTCACACCTAGGTTAGATAATATGTTAGATGAATTAAGTGACTCCACAATATTCTCTAAGATTTACCTTAAAAGTAGCTACCATCAAATAAGAATTAAAGATGGAGATGAAAACTTCTTTTAAGACCAAGCCTGGACTATATGAGTGATTGGTTATGCCCTTTGGCTTAACCAATGCCCCTAGCACGTTCATTAGACTCATAAACCATGTTTTAAGGGAATTCATAGGACATTTTGTGGTAGTATACTTTGATGACATCTTTGTATACTCACCAAACATGGAAACTCACTTAGGTCACCTTAGGTTAGTCATGTTTGCCTTAAAAAAAAATAACCTATATGCAAACTTAGAAAAATATTTCTTTGGTTTAGACAAGGTAGTTTTCCTAGGTTTTGTGGTGAGTTTCAAAAGGGTACATGTGCATGAGTCCAAACTCAAGACCATCAAGGATTGGCCCACCTCACAAAATGTTGGTGAAGTTAGAAGCTTCCATGGGCTTAGTAGCTTATATAGAAGATTTGTGAAAGATTTTTTCACCTTGGCATCTCCCTTAAATAAATTAGTTAAAAAGAATGTTGTTTTCTCATGGGGACCAAGGCAAGAAAAAGCCTTTCAAGATCTAAAAGATCGGCACACACAAGCTCATATCCTAACTCTTTCAAACTTTTCTAAGCTAGACTTACCCAATGATTATGGTGCGAGTAGTACTTTTAACATTTGTGATCTCTCCCCTTTTTATGTAGGTGGCTAAGATGATGATGGCTAGGATTTGAGGACAAATCCTCTTGAAGAATGAGGACATGATGAGGACCTCACATAAAAAAAGACCATAGAGCACTATGAGGATGCTTTGGAGGGACTTTAAGGCCTCATGACTAGATCAAGGGCTAAGAAGGCCAAAGAGATCCTCAACAAGCTTATTGTGCTTGTGAGGCACTTGGAGGAACCACACCTTTTGGAGGATCACATGCACCATAATAGATACATAGGCTTCATGTGTACATCTTGTAAGATTAGGTACATCTTTTTTTTGTATAAATACAATGAATTAGTTTAGGAATTCTTCTTGATATTTTATTAGTTAGCCTTATATTTTTTGGCATTAGTTGCTTATGATCTTTTAGGCCATGTATTTTGGCCACCTTTAGTTAAATAGTTTAGGAATTAGATTTGGCTTTAGGAAGGCCCATTAGCATAACCACCCTATGCAAGCCTTTATAAAGGCTACCCCTTTTGTAATTCAAACACTTTTAGTCATATGCAAAAATACTCTTTTGAGTTTGTGAGATTTATTCTCATTTTTCTCTCAATTGTTCAAGAAAAACTTTGAGCTTGAAGTTCGTATCAATGGATCCTTCAATTGTGGAGAATCATGCCTAGGCTTATCTCCATACAGTGGTGCCTTGCCCTTTCCATTTCCTTTCTCCTCCATCATTATTCATTATTTTTTCCCTTGTTCTTCATTCAATTGTCTCAGAATTGCTGCAAAGTGCTACTTGGCCAAAAGTTTTTCATACAAAGAAGCATCAAGAAACAAGTTTCCACAAGGATATATCTGCCTCCTACATCATCATATATCCTCTATACCAACAAAATAGGAAAAACACAGGTAAAAACACTAACAACCCCACCATCAAAACTAAGCAAAAAGACTCAAATATTTGAAGACCTTTTTGAGTACATTCAAAGCTGATTTAGAGGGACAAGAAAAAGGTTCAAATCAAACAAAGAAAGATAGGAAGAAGAAAAGACCAACACACACTTGTAACCCCACCAAAAGACAAGACAAAATCAAGGGGGAATATAGTTCATAAATTGAGGAATACCTTTGCTAATTAATTTTTGAGTTAAAGGAAACCCTTAACCTTTTTATTTGATGAAAATTTCACGGGTTTAGTTGATATATGAAAATAAAATTGATTGGAACAAGAAATCTAAAGAAATTATTAAAAATAGCAAAAACAAGAAATCATACAAAAAAAATCTTAACAAAGTATAAATAGGTATTTTGTTGATAACTTTACTTGCTATATGTTATTATCATGATATTATGATGACTATATGTGATTCCATATGTTAAAATTGTTTGAACAATCTTTTGAATTTTTTTGCAAAAATTAGGTTTTTTTATCTTGAAATATTTGTTGTTTTTGTAAATATTTTTTTATACATGGTCTGAGTTCTAATCTTTGTTTGACCTTTATATGACATGAATACATCTTGTGTGATATTAACTATTACAACTATTAACAGTCCTCATGTTGCTTTCATAATCATGCACAACCTTGTTAGAATTTAGATCCTTTATCCCATGTATTGTGCAACGTCTTACCTAGGCCTTCATGTTGATCCTCCTTTAGATGAGCTAGAGGATTAGATCAGGGTGATCTGTTTAGAAGGGGCATATGTGAATTATAGGTGCTTGTGATCTTTCACTCAACCTTCATTTTTTCTTTTGTTTGTAATATACCTAAATAATCTAGGAAAATTTAGGAGGTCTGTATAATATGTGTGTGTGTGTGATACATACCTTTATTCATTTATTTAAAAAAAATTATTTTAGTCTCTAAAATTTGACATAATGATATTAGTAATTGGGATGAAATTATTAATAGTAACAGGGACATCTCACAAACTGTTGTCTTTTTCTAGTATTATAATTAACTATGAAGCTATTCTAGGAAATTTCTCAAAGAATCTTTTATAGTACTTTGTCAATCTTAGAAAACTAGATGCTTTTGTTATTGTATTAGGATGTTCCCACTTTACAACAACTTCAACTTTAGAAAGGTCAACACCTTTCCTACTTTAGTAGACCCAAAAATTTCACTTTTAACCAAAATTCATATTTAAATAATCATGCATATAATTATTTTTCTTTTAGAATCTATAGATGTTCTTAAAAGTAAAAAAGTTGAAAATAAGAAGTAAGGGTTTCAAATATGATTTCAAAAGATTTTCACAAATTTTTTGAAGATAACTTTCTTAAAACATATAGAAAATTAGAGTAAGGAAAATAAGCATACAGTGTAACATTGGTTTACCTTTAAAGTAATAAGAAACATTTGATTCTTAAGCTAGCCAAGAATTTTACTATTTTTGTGATTTATACATAAGTATCTCACCACCTAAGTATTCTTACACAAATTTTTTTCTTACACAAGTCTTTTGATACTCAAATAAAATTTAAGTATCTTTTTAAACACTAACTCTTCAATCAATCAAATGCTCTCCAAGTATTATCATTTATCCTTACATACCAATAACAACAACAATAATAATAATAGAAAGAAAGAAAGTTTAATGAATGTTTTTGCTTAATTGCATTTCTTTTCTTTTTTTTTAGTTTGGACCACTTTCTTTCTTTTGCCCTTTTTTATTTTATTTTTTCCATTTTGGTGTAAGGCGAAAGGACAAGAACAAAAAATGTATTTTTTTTATAAATAAATGTAGTGTTTGCTTGACTAAGGTTCTTTGTTCACGGTCAACTCTTCATGTTTTAGTGCATCCTTTCTTTAAAAGCTTCTGAGCTTTGTACTAGTAGCTTTCTCCTTGAACATATTTAATTTTGATTTAGTCTTTGTATTTTAAATCTATCTTGTTATTTGTATCATCTTTCGAAATGTCTTATATAATAATAATTTATCGTGTAACAAACAATGAGATCTTTGTTAATTGTTTAGTTGTGTTGTCTTACAAACTTGTCTAAAATAAAAATAGATTAGTAATACCAAATATTTCATCTTAAAAAAAAATTATTCATTAAAACTTAGACTTTTAGTCTCTTAAGATTATTATAAACAAATTATTATATCAAATCAGATAAATGGTGAGTTAAAATAAATAAAAAATTTATCAAATTAATCATTATCAATGCAAATACTTGTGTCAAGACTATTGCTATTATTAGACTTATGAGAATATTCTAGGTCAGAAAATAATTTTCCCAGAACTAAGCCCTTTTTGAATTACATTTTCCTTGAAACTAAAAGGAATTATTGTTTTTGAAATCAAATAAGGCCCAATACTCTGTTCTCAACTTCTTCTCTATACTCCTTCATTCTTTGTAGGATTTGAGCTATAACACCAACTATCTCTTGCATTGCCTGAATAGCCTTTGTCATATCAGGATGAACTCCTGAACATTTAAACTAATCAAGCTTAGCACTTCTTCTACATTTGCCTTTACTCCTGACTCTATAGCCATCTATCTGGAAACCATTAAATAATCCCATCCAACATTGCAAAACCACTAATGTTATAGAAATGAAACTTACTATAAATAAAGTACATTAAAACGTTTGCAAATAACTTGAGCTAAAATTTAGATATCACTATTATATACTATATTAGCTAAGATCAAGGTCATACTCCATTATAAAATAAAATTCTCAGGGTGAAGTAGAATTTTTCACACAAGCAATCAAACAAACAAATAGCGAACGAGATACAAATTAATGTTTAAATTGACACAAGTAACAATTAGGCTTAATTAAGAGATTTTAGATACATAAAGCAGAACAATAGAATTTAAAAATAAAATAGCATAAATAATAGTTATAATCGTTTTGATGTAAATGTAAAAATTGTGCATGCGTAGATCCGAAGTTTCAAGACACTAATAATACGCGGATCACTGTACTATAGATTGTCAATCAGGAAAACATGTTAGTGATTTTTAAAACTTGAATAACAATTTTCGTTTTCAATTAATTTGCTTGGAAATCATGCCTTCGCTACATACCTCTACTTTCCATTTTGTATAGTATTCCTTTCACATTTGAATCAAGTACCACATAGCACACGTTTTAAAATAAATCATTCCATTTTAACGATACACAATAAAAGTAGTCCGATTTATGATTCTTTTGGGGTCAACGTCCCATTTATGATTAAACCCAACGTAGCAACACTTGACTACATGGAGTAAATCTATTTTTAATCCATTTTAATCTATAGCACACATTTTGAATTTTGTAACCCACATCTGACCACTTTAATCCATTTTTTTATTTATTTTTTGACCCATTTAACACGACACCGCTAAAAAGTCTCTAATATTTTAAAATCTCTCTTAATAATCTATTTTGAAGTTGACAAAATAAATAATTATTTAGTTGAAATAGGCTGAACTAAACACACGCCGATGTTAAAGACTATTGTTTTTTGCATTCAGTTAACAGAGAAGCACACGTTCTAAAATTTGTTCACTGTAACATTTGCAAAGTTGGAAATTGATTGACTGTTACTAACTGAACCATCTTCCACTTTCAATAATATTTTGACTGCCAAGGGATTTGTGAATTGAAATGGATGCTGCAACTAGTTCACCTGTTTGAGCTAAACTGCTGGCAAACGTGTATGGGTTCACTATACCAAGCAAAACTGCAAGGAAACTACACTAAAATAATTGCTACTACATACAAATATAATAGCGTGCAAGCAGGGTAACGAATACATTGTACATACAGGGAATTTGCTTCCCCAAGAATAAAGCAAGCCCACAGAAAGGCAAAACCACCTAACCCAACTCCCAAAGAGCTTTAGCAATTTAGTACAGCAACCTCTGGACATACTAGTTAACAACCATCTAGCCCTTCAAAGGTTATGTTCTCACATCTTTGAGTACACCCCCTTTTTCGAGCTCACTGACCAAATCTCTAAGTGATGGAACCTTCGTAGCCAAGGTCCTATATAATCTAGAATACCGTGCCCTAGTGCCATCTGCTGTCCTTGCTAGAGCAAGCAAGCTTAGAGCCTCAGGCAGTTCACTAAATACTTGTTTCATTTCCTCCAAGCTCATATTTTCCAAAACGGAGGGTTTAGGGGCAACCCTCACAATTTCACCACCTTTAGGCTCCTGAACTCGTGCATCAGCTTTAATGACTAGTTCTGAATTAGAGTTTGCACCACATTTTATTATAAATGGTGAGGTCGAGCCAGTGTTGAATTGGAGCACATTCCACTGTGCCACATCAATTTCAGATCTAGAGCCCATCTCTGTCGATGGCCTATGACCATGAGATAGATCTTGAATGTGATCATCATCTTCAGGAATAGACTGTATCATAGCAGAACAGAGGATTCAGGCATAACAGAAAATTAATCAAAAAATATTTTTCATCAGTTCACTCACTCCTCAGTATTTAACTCAGCTAGTTTAGTCCCAAACAGCACAGCAAACAATTTTGTTCTATTTCAGCATTGACAGTTATTTTAAAAGTGTTAGCAACTCAAACACCAGATGGAGGACAGGATGTTTACGCTTAAAAGATATAAAATAGACTAAACATTTTGCGTACCTCAACCATGTGACGAGCATCTGCAATGCGCCGCTGAGCACATGGATGATCAATTTCAAGAAGTGAAGGCATCTGTTCCTTTAGTTCATCAAGAGAAGCAAGCATGGTTTTTTTCTTACTTCTGCTCAAGACATTGACGGAAGAATGTTTTGTTATATCCTGTTTAAATAATACCTTGAATTATTAATAATTTCCAATCAGTATACCTCTCAAATATATATCTGAATAATTATATAAGAACCTTAATTTGCTTCAATATGCCATCAAGTGAAATAAGAGATGCTAATCGTGAATCTTCAGCTGCAGTAGAAGGATTTTGAATAGGGGAACCACCATTTTCTAATGTCAATAAAGCTATATCACTTCTCATTTGTTGCAGAATCTGATAAAAAAAAATGAAGAAATTTCAATGAAACTAAATCCCTTCTCATTTATTGCAGAATCTGATAAAAAAAATGAAGAAATCAATGCATCATACGATATATAGAAATTCATTTGAGAAGAAAACAGTGCTGTAGGATCCTTTTTCAAATTGCTTTTAAAGCTTGATGTTACTACTAACAACGCAATAGTACCATACTACGACAGAATTGAAAATCTATTAACAGAGACCAAAGAATACAATATAAATAAATAAAAATAACCAACCATTATTAATCACATGATATCTTTAATATAGATAGAAATTCTATCCAAGGCATACAATCTAAATAAATAAAAATAGCCATCCATTATTGATCTCATGATATCAAATATAGATAGAAATTCCATCCCAAGGCCAGCTCCTTTAAACTAAATTGAAACTACAGAAAATAAAACATGTGAAATCTCTTTAGACCTAGAAGCATAACAATTTATTCCCTTATTAAATTATATTAAAAGTACAAACATAAATGAGTTTCCTCAAAGCAAAATAAAATGAAAACAAATAAACTAAAGATCTAACACTCATATTTCTGTGTAAGCAAATGAAACAACCCTAAAATACCACGATCAAACCATTGGATGATATCTTCTCATGCAGCTTGCTTGTATCAGAGTAATTTATAGTTACATTTGATGATCTCTTTTAAGTAGTTTTGTTTCATATAGAGAGAGAGGACTAGGAGTGCAGGAATGCTATAAGCAACAGTAGATGCTTTGTCTTCAGTAACACATCTACAAATCATAGATCAATACCATATTTTATTAAAATTATTCACATTTATATTTTTTTTTTTCCTCATCTTTTCCTACCTAAATCTCTATATTTCCAACCCCAGAAATCAATAGCAAGCAATAACGGGACCATTGCAGTGGTGCGGAGCAAACTGACTCCCTAGCACAACACGAAGTGCATAGGAATGCAATTTTGTGTAGCAGTCCGGGTGGTGCAAATTGAGGCTGTATCTGCTGCAGGGCAGAAATGTCACATACACCCCATTTTCTCAACGTTAGAAAAAGGCTTTTAAGAGAGGAAATATTGGGATTTTGCCCTCGTTTTACATTGTCAGTGTCTGCTACATGTCGTTGTATCATTCAAATTCAGCATTCTCAAATCCTAGGTGCTCTCATTCACCATCTCTAACAACTTCTGATTTGTCCAACGAGCTTCACAATGGCCAACGTCCTTTTCATGCCAAACTATGGTGCAGGTCCCTATTTCTGCCCAAGTTCTAGTCGTCGTCTTCATCTCCGACAGGACCCTCATTTCTAATGTGATCCATCCACGTTAGGTGCTGTTTTCCAGCCAAAATCCCATGCTATTCCCTATTTCTAGCCAAGTTTTAGCCATCGTCTTCATTTCCAATAAGACCCACATGTTTTCCAGCAAGACCATCTCTGTTGGGGGCTTTATATATGTGTGTGTGTGGACGCGTGAATTTCAAATCTTTAGAATAGCAGTCATCCTGCTATCTGCTGTAGCATTTTTGAGATTGGCTGCTCCTCCCGCTATCCGAAATTGGCTACAAAGTTTACAACATTGTATGATATCAAAATTTTAACATCCTTTCTAACCGGCCTAGTTACTACACCACTCCTAAGTTTCCAGAAGTTCCAAGTTCTTTTGTTTGATATTCTTTTTACAATAAATTTCAGTGACTGTTGGGATTTAGAGTAAAATGAAAGGAAAAAATTGTATTATTTAATGAGAAAGGAACTCACAAGACATTCTAACACATGGAATGGACAGTACCCTCATATAAAATAAAATAATTCTTCTCAAAGTCTAATAGTGAAACATTTCAATACAAAACTTGCTTGCAAGGGTCCATTCACTTCAAGGATTTGCACAGTCGAACAAAGTAAATTCAAGTCAATGGTCTGCCGACACAAATGATTTGTTCATCTTAAGCATTTGTTTACTACAAGGCAACAATAGAATGTTATAGACATACCAACTCCAATGTTTTATAGTCAATACATCTAAAAGTAAAAGTCTACCCTGATGCGCTGCAGAAAGCACTGTATTGCTACAAGGAAACAAATTTTAGAATTGTACATATGGACTAGTCTCACTGTATTAAATGCATTGCATCGACAACAAGCAAATTCAAGTTATATCTCACAACACCAAAATCCTATGAAGACTAAACAAGAAGAAAAGTTTAGAGAATTAAAGAGAAACCACTTTGCATTTAATATGCTCAAAATCTTACATTCTTTATTCTTTATACATCATTGAGATTATAACTGTCATCTTAGTTAATAATTGAGGCCCAAGTTGTCAATAGCATGCAATAGCTGCCATGTGTAGCGGAGCAGCCTTCAGCCACCACAAATCTAGCATAGTGGAGCGTTTTGCTGTCACAGCCATCACGACTGTATTTGCACATGATCTTTGGAGAAAAATGCCAACTTTTCCTTTCTACCCTCAAACTGATGCAGTTTTTAAGGGTAAAAATGTCAATGGAATTGATGAGCAAATTTTTGGTCATTAAAACCAGCAAATTCACAGCTGGACATTTAATATGCAATTGTATTGTACAGCTGTAACTGTTATTCTTTTCTTAATTAGGATTGTAACTGTTATTCTCTCCTTAATTAAGTTGTAGGATAAATGTAAATATAGCCGTTTAGCTAATTATTGGGCTGAAAATCAGCTTGTATTAAACATTATATATATGAGAATTCTCCAGCAGGAGAAGACAGTTTTTCTGCCTACACTTCTCTAAGTTTGACATGGTATCAGTCTGGCTTCCGATCCTAGCCTAGCCCTGTCCCAGTTTTTCCGATCATTGTCCTAGTCCAAGCTTTTACGGTCCTTGTTTTTTTTCTCAATTCTATCCTAGTCCAGATTTGGTCCTTAGTTACCATTTCATTTTCTTTAGCATCATGTCTATTGAAAAGTATGACGTATTATTGGTCCGCCTAAATGGCAAGAACTACTCAGCCTGGGCATTCCAATTCCAGATATTTGTCAAAGGAAGAGATCTTTGGGGTCATGTTGATAGTAGCACTCCTGCTCCTAACAAAGACCAACAGAATGATGAACATCGCAAATGGGAGGTCAAGGATGCTCAAGTCATGGCGTGGCTCATAGGTTCTGTGGATCCAAACATTATCCAGAATTTACGACCTTTCAAGACTGCAGCAGAAATGTGGGCCTATTTGAAGAAAATCTATAGTCAGAATAACACTGCACGCAGATTTTAGCTTGAACATGACATCACCATCTCTCAACAGGATAGTCTCTCCATTTCTGAATTTTACTCTCATTTCATGAATCTTTGGGCAGATTACACTGACATAGTTTATGAAAATTTGATTTCTGATGGTCTTACTTCAGTGCAATCAATTCATGACACTACTAAACGAAATCGATTTCTTATGAAATTGAGATCCGATTTTGAAGGTATCTGATCTAATCTCATGAATAGAGACCTGTACCCTCACTAGATACATGCCTCAATGAACTGCTTCGTGAAGAATAGCGTCTTCTCACACAATCAACCATTGACCAACAAAGCTTCTCTACTGTCCCAGTGGCTTACGCAGCACAAGGAAAACCAAAAAGCCGTGACATGAGTGTTGTTCAATGCTATTGTTGCAAAGGATTTGGACATTATGCTTCACACTGTCCACAAAAATTCTGTAGTTATTGCAAAAAGGATGGCCATAGTATTAAAGAATGCCCAACAAGACCACCAAAGCGATCTGCAACAGCTTTTACAGCATTGGCTGGTTCCTCTACTTCTAGTAGTTCTACGAATACAGCCTCTGTCCAACATCCTGCTCCTGCTCCGGTTCCAACATTGACTCCTGAAATGGTTCAACAAATGATCATTTCTGCATTCTCTGCCTTGGGACTTTCAGGTAAACCTTTTTCTACATCTTCACCTTGGTACTTTGATTCTGGGGCTTCCAACCATATGACCAACAATGTTCAGTTTCTTACTAATATCACCAAATATTCTGAAAATCTCAAGATTCATACTGCTGATGGAAATCATTTACCTATCACAGCAACTGATGATATTTCTTCATCTCTAACCGATGTTTTTGTCTCTCCTGGTCTGACTAATAACCTCATTTCTATTGGTCAATTAGTTGACAATGGTTGTCTTGTAGAATTCTCAAAATCTGGTTGTCTTGTGCAGGATCAACAATCAAGGAAGACAATCGCGACGGGGCCTAAAATTGGATGCCTTTTTCCACTTCATTTCCCTTTGTCTCCAAATCTTTCTTTACCTTTTGTTTCTTGTAATTCTACTACTGTTGATTATCAGATATGGCATAAGCGTCTTGGACATCCAAACTCCAATGTACTGCATCACATGTTAAAAACTGGTTTTCTTGGAAATAAACAGTCCCCACCTCTTCATGTTGTTCAATTTGATTGCCTTTCTTGTAAACTTGGCAAAAGTAAAATTCTTCCTTTTCCGACACATCAATCAAACATCGACAAACCTTTTGATATGATTCACAGTGATGTATGGAGGGTGGCACCAATTATTTCTCATGCAAGTTATAAATATTTTGTCACTTTCATTGACGATTATAATCGTTTTACGTAGGTCTATTTCTTGCGCGCTAAAGATGAAGTATTGTCTGCTTTCAAACTTTTTCATGCTTATGTTCAGACCCAATTTTCCTCCAAAATTAAAATTCTTCGCTCTGACAATGGAGGGGAGTACATTTCTCATTCTTTTCAGAACTTCTTGCAAACTAATGGTGTTATATCTCAAAGGACATGCCCCTCAACCCCCCCGCAAAATGGGATAGCCGAAAGAAAAAACCGCCACTTGCTTGATGTTGTCCACACCCTGTTGTTGAAGTCTTGTGTGCCACCTCAGTTTTGGTGTGAAGCTCTCTCCACTGCTGTTCACCTTATAAACCACTTGCCATATACATCATTAAATAATGATTCTCCTTTCATCCGATTATTTAGTCACCCACCCA